GACCTGAGTTGCGGTCGGTCATCAGGGCTTCCAAAATCTTCCGACCAGCAGCGGTTTCTTTGATCTTGCAGCTGTCAAGGAAGCGCTGTACCTCAATGGCGGCCTTCGCCTTCATCTCCTCCTCTTTGGCCGCCAGCGTCGCCGGCCCCTTGTACTTTTCGCAGGTTCGCACCAAATCCTGAGCACGGTAGCCGCCTGAAGGACACTCCAACCAGTGCAGCGCAGGGCCCCTCACGACAAAACAAAGCAACCACTGCAGCCCAGAGGCAGGCATTTACGAATTGCTTCCAATCCTCCCGGTGCCCGTGGAGGGTCAGCAGCTCCTTGGCCTCCTTCTCGGTAAGGTCCTCCACCCAGTAGTTCTCCTGGCGGTCGCCGCCAGCATCGAAGCTCAGGGCCATGGCGGCCGACGATGCGCACACGATCACCTCGGAACATCATGTGATTCACGCACCAGCCCGCTCGCACGCAATTCCAACGCCTACTGGCTTACAGCAGCACTCAACACAAACTAACTATTCGGGTCCTGGCATGCGCCATGGCGTCCATGGTGTCGTCAGAGCACAAGTACTTGGCGAAGTTGGAGACAGTGTCCATGCCTCACGGCCAACAAGCAAGGGCGGAAGGACTTGAAAGCCACAAGCGCCGTGCCTTCCCTCGTCTCGCGCGGGATGTCCAGCACGATGATGGGCACCTTCGACGGACCCTCCAGCTTCTCCAGCTGCGCCTGCACGCGGCACAGGACCTCCTCCAGCATGTCGGGCCCACTCAGGCCCAGGCGCTCGTACAGCTTGTCCTTCCAGTCGGCATCCTCGATGGGGTGGAAGAAGACGCCCTGGACGCCTCGCAGGGCCTCTCTGACTGCCACGGACTTGCCGGAGCCGTAGCGGCCGGTGATGATGGTGGCGTGCGAAGTCCAAGTGGCTACGCGTTTCTTGATTGGCGCGGTGGACCACCGGCTTCTTCTTCTTCGGCTCGTAGGGCGGCATCATGTGCTTCACGGCAGCTTGCACTCTGCCCTCTTCAGACTCTTTGAACGCCCTCCGGACCTGAACTATGGCAATGACAGTGCTCGAGATGCCCAGAAGCTTTTCAAAGGGCAACATCCATGCGCGCAGCTGCGTGCGAGGTTTCTCCACCTGCTGCGGCCACCCCCTGGCCAACGGAGCCTGCAAGCATGTAGCTGCAGGCAGACCCTCACAAGCAGCCACAATCCCATGCGCCTCGCTGGCGAGCCGTCCACGACTCATACCAAGATTCGCCTGCAGCAAAACCATCTTCCCGTGCAAGGAGAATGACAAACTGGCTCCGGCCTGCAGCACGAACGTTGGCGCCGTGGTGACAAACAGAGCCAGCGCAAGCTTTCCAAGCATGCGCTTTGGCGCCATGGCTTCAAAAACACACTTGCCTCAGAAATCCAACTTGACTTGAGCAGTCGAGCTTCGTGTCTCAAGAGCTGCGTCGGAGCACATGCGGCTTCTGCGCACAGACAGTGAGTGATGCTTGAGTGTCGCATGAGACCCACATCCCCGGCCTCCATGAACTTCACCTCAGAAAGCATGCGCTGCATGCCATCAAGAGAATCCTGCCGCAAACAACTTGTCAGTTTTGTCACCTGCCGGCCTCGTGATAAATGGCTTCAGAAAGCACTTGCCAGCAACGCGCTCCGAAAAACTTAAGTCCCTTCTGTGGAGCCCTGGAAGGTCTGGGCAAGCTGTACAAGACTCGTCGTCATCGTGTCGTGCTACCTATCTTAGTGGGCACGCTCAGCTGCGGCACTGGTAGCCGGGACTGTCGGTTGGCCGGAAGTGGGACTCCAAGGCTGCTGCGGCGGTCCAACGAAGTCACCAGACTCGAAACAACCTCTCGCTTTAGCAGTGCTCCGGTAGCCCAGCTTTGCTCAGCTTTGCTTGCTTCTAAGTAGAGACTTGGCTGTTGTAACAAAGTAGAACGGTTCCTCAGGTTTGTTTTACTTTGCTTCTACTGGCATGAGCCCGTGCACAGCCAAGCCGCAACTTCGCATGCCTGCATGCTTTAGCAGCTTGCATTTCAATTTTCACCCACCCTCCACTCCCTATGACATGCTTTGCCTGTTATATACCTCATTTATCGCTTTTTATCGCTGTTGTTACATCATACTTTGCTTCTCTCCAGTCTGGGTGACTGGAGGGGGCAGCGAGGTAGTTTCGAAAGCTTCGGCTTGCATGCTTGGCATAGACCACACTCGCTTTTGCTTCCACCAGACGCAAAACAACCTCGCGCTTTAGCAGTGCTCCGGTAGCCTAGCTTTGCTTTGCTTTGCTTAGGCTTGGCTGTTGTAACAAAGTAGAACAGTGCAGTACATGTCTAGGACCGAAGGATACCATCTTGTGTACAGGAAAACTCCCAGAGGTATCTCGAAACTTCACCAAAGCATAGGAACGGCTCAGTCGACTTCAGCTCAGTGGCTGAGAAGCAGGAACATTTACTTGAGGTCTTCAGTGACAGTGATTGGGCAGGAAACAAAAGCTCTAGGAAATCAACATCTTCAGGAACCATGTTTCTTTGATGGACAGGTCATCTATACATTTTCAAGGAACCAGAAAAGCGTGGCATTGTCTTCAGGTGAAGCAGAGGAAAGTGCATCAAGCTTCTTTTACATTGGCTAGGATTTCAAGATGAGAACNNAACAATGACCCTGTAGGTAGAGAAGAGCTCCAGGAAGACCGAAGCCAGGAACAAGCCAGAGCCAGTGTCAGGATGATCAAGTCTAAAGGGAACTTTGCGTTTGCAGCTTTGTTGTTTTCGGCGATTTCAGGAATTTCAGAAGGTTTTCTTTCAGGAACGTTTGCCAGAACTGTAGAGCAGCTAAGTCTAGGAACCAACATGTTTCAGGACGTCATGTGTTTAGGACAGGACGTCATGTGCACCGACACGAGCGCATGTGCATTAGGAGTAGGAACAGCGTGTGCAGTGCATGTTCAGGAACCGTTTGTGCATCCGCAGATGCTCTCTTACTTCAAGGAACTAGGCCACGTTGTACAGGACCTCTGTACGAGACATAGTCCAGAAGGAAGCGAAGAAAGGAAAGAAGCGAAGAAGCGCAAAGGACCATGGCGGCAGCAGTCAAGGAACTGACCTCATGGAAAAGCAGAACGGGAACCTGTGTTTGGCGTCACAGGACATAGAGTCCCTCAGGACCGTAGTGTTGGAACACACCAAAACGACCAACCTGACGATTGCAGGCCTTGCGAGCGAAGTCAGGAACCTCCAGAACGACGTGCAGGAACTCCAGAGCCGCTGGAGAGTTCATAGCAGAAGAGGAAGAAGCCAGGACCGAGTACGCGAAGTACTTTGAGGAACAAGAAAGGCTCAAAAGAGGAACTCAGAGCGGACCGTGACAGGTTGCTGAAAGGGAACTCAGGATGGAAGGCCACTTTGGACCAGCGACTTCTACATCACCTGCCAGGACCGAGATCCACGAGTTCAGCGACCGGGAGTACTGCGACAAGATGATGCAGGAAAGTGAGGCACAGGAAAGTTTGGAGGAGAACGAGAACGAGCACTACATGCAGACCTACTACATCTTAGCAGAAGAAGCAGGAGAACCGTGGTCAGAGGAACAAGGAGGAGAAGAAGAAGGAGGCAGGTGAAGGAGAGCCAAAAGAAGAGGAAGAGCCAAAGAAAGAGGAAAAGCCAAAGGAACAGCAGACGCAGGAAGAGCACGACGAGGAAAGAAAGCTTTTGACTGAAGGCTCGGGCAGATATTGCCCTAAAGGAAGCAAAGAGGAAGGAACAGGAACGAGGATTCAAGACGCCCATTGACAAAAGCTATGATTTTGCCGCGGGCTAAGATGGTCGGTCCATTCAGGACATTTGATCCTTTAGGACCAGCTGTGGGGAGCCTCAACTTTGTTGAACCTTCGGTTGGAAAAGGTCAGTTTTCGACACATTTCTCTCACAAGTTCCTTGACCACTTTGTAGACACGTTCTTGTTTGGGGTTGGAAAGACTTCCGCTCAGCGAAGGCTTGCTTGCTGTTGGGATCCAGTCAATTCTTGGTTTGCAAATTGGAAGAAGAAGACGCCGATGCCATCCCGACCAGCGCGAACCAATAAACTTCCGTAGGCCCATGATACTGTCGAATCTACGTTGAGCCGAAAGCTTCGGAGACGTCCAATCTCAGCCCTACTAGAGATGCCGAAACTCAGACCTTGCGTTCCAGGTTCGAATGTGACACTAACGAGGTGGTGCGCCTGGTCTTGCTAGCGCTGACTCGTGCAGGCGGCAAGCCGGCCGAGTCCCCAGCACTGGGCTTTGCAGGAAAATCTTTCATGTTCTTGCCAGGCTGCAGGACGCAGGACTGAAGTTTAATCCAGGCGCACTTGCTCAACCGAAACCAGCGCCCACAGCCCCCACCCCACTCCACTTCACGCAGCCAGCCCGTGCTCCAAGTGTCCTGCAGCGGATCTTGGAGGCTAGACAGCAGGTGCTTTCAGGGCTGTGGCTGGTTGTTAGAGAGTAAAAGCTTGAGCTTTAGCAGGGTCGGAGAAGAGCCTGAAAAGCTGTGAGTGATTGCTTTACTGGGGCGGAGTGGTGCTATGTTGAGTCGTTCGCAGGAGTCTGCTTCTCTTGAAGCGGACGGTCGTTTATGGCTTTTTCACGACATTTCAGGTTTTTTTGGGGCTTAGCAGTTGAGCTTTGAGCTCTTTGGGTGCACGCAGGCATCCACTCCGTTCTGATCTTTGCTCTCGTAAAACTTGCACGTCGGAAACACTTCTCTGTACACAAGGCATCTGTGGCTGAAGTGCAAGGTTCTCCACAGGAAATCCCATAGAGCGAAGTCGGTTGCACTTCGGATGACAGACGCCCGCGTCACCTGAAACCCTAAACCCTAAACCCTAATAAGCCCTAAACCCCTACACCCTAAACCCGACCGCGGGGATTCCGGAGGCGAGTAGGTTGGAGCCTCCACTGATCTCCATGAGAGAGGCGGCCAAGGAGGGCAACGTGGCTGCGCTTGCGGCGCACTGGAAGGCCAGAGTGCGTTCGAAGCGCAGTGTCTGTTCTTAAAAAGGGCTTGCAGGGTGAGACTGCAGCTGTCTTTCACGTCTGGAAGTTAGGTTTGGGGCCAAAGTTCAGGGTTTAGGGTTTAGAGTTTTTGAAAGGGCTTGCCATAGACTCTGCCGAGCCCGGGGCCGACTTGGAGGCTGCTGTGGACCAGGAGGGGAGGGCGCCGGCGCACTATGCGGCAGCCTATGGCCAAGCGGTGCTGCAGTTCCTGCGCGAGGTTCCTCGAAGCTTCCAAATCTCTGTGAGAAGCCATGGGCATATCGTGGCTGTGGCCTCTTAACCCCCAAAGGCTCAAGCCGCAAACACCCCCAAAACCCGAAACCCTAAACCCTAAACTTGAAACTCCGACAGACGGACAGACGGACAGACGGACAGACGGACAGACGGACAGACGGACAGACGGACCGACGGACCGACGAACCGACGGACCGACGGACGGACGGACGGACGGACGGACGGACCGACGGACGGACGGACAGACGGACGGACGGACGGACCGACGGACCGA